TAATATTCTGACACTGCTGTGGTTTATCACAATGAAGTCGCTGTTGACCTTCTACAGCTTCTTGTAGCGGTTGGTGCTTGGCTCCAACGAGGTGTAGGCATCGTGCGCGAGGGCAGCTGTGGGGCAGAAATTACAGATCTGTAGTTGTGAGGCTCTCCGTGGTTTCGTGCCGTCATGGCGCAGCGGAGCGCCGGGCAGGAAGACTTTTGCGATGAGGCAGTTGTTGAATGCCTGGCGCGAGGGGTGGCCAAGGCGTTGGTGCCAGAGGTCGTCATCTGCGCGAACTCCAGGGGTGCGCAGGTATCGTGCGTGATGCGCGGCTGCCTTTGCTTCTTTTTTATGGGGGATGTAGAGCACGCGTCCTTCTTCTTCTTCTTCTGATTCTGCTTTTGCTTCCTCCTCTCGTTTTGGATCTGCTTCTGCTTCTCCTTCTGCATGTGCTCTTGATAGATAGAGCGCGAAAAAAGATGCGGTCGGGGATGATGTTAAGTGGAGTGGTGGTGCCTTCGATGAATCGAGCGAATGGATCTGGGCATGAGAGGGGTCCGTATGCGTCGCGCGGTGGAGTTGCCGGCTCGTTGCCTTGGTCGAGCCCGGTCCAGGTGGAGTGTCAGATCTGTGGTGAGCAAGGAAGGGATGGGAGGTTGCGCGGACGTTGCTCGAGGGGAACTACAACTCTTGGTGGAGTCAGCGCGGCGGCTATCTCTCTCCATGCCTGCTATAATTCTTCTTGGGTGAGTTCTCCTTCAGCAACTCCCCAAGGTCCAGTGTTGTCCTAGCCTCCTCCGCCGGTGCCGCCGCCAGTGCCCCAGGCACCAGTAGCAGATGCTCATGTTCCTCCAGTGTTTTCTTCTGTGTTTCCCCATCCTCCGTCAGTGGGAACCTTTCGGGCTGATTCGGGATCCCATCCTGCTGTGATTCTCTCTCGGTTGATCTGCTCCCTTTCTTATTGTTCTTCTTTCTCCTCATCTTCCTTAAGGCTGAGTTCATTTGGGGCGTTAGGATCCTTCCACTCCTTATAAACTTGATGATGGAGTTCGCGGGTATAAGGAAGTGGCCGTCATGCGTTCCCTTTGAGTCTCCTTTTAGGATCCAGCGAAGTGTCCCAGTCGCGGATGTGGATCGCTCCTCTTGTTTCATGCCAAGTTCCTCTTGTTCGGAGCTGAAGATGTGGTAGAAGGATGTTGCGAGTTCCATTTCTGTCATACCCTCTATTGGCGCCGCGGCGCTTTCCACTTCCTTGATTGCGGCCAGATCTCTCTCGACTTCTTCGGTGCGACTTGCTGTGGGTGTGAAGCAGCTTGTGCAGTGTCCATCGGCCCAAGTTGGTGCAGATTTATCTCGCGAGGGTGAGGGCTGCGTCTGATCCACGGTCGTCCGTCAGGATGTTTCCATAAAATTTCGGACTTGTAGGCGAAATGCATGGGAATAAGGTCCATGAACTCGTCCGAAGTGGCTCAGCAGTTGGGAATGTCGGAATCGAGTGCATAAACTCCGTTGATAGATCGTGCTCAGTCGAGATATTTGCGGTATTCGACAAGTGTGTCGGGGAGCGAAGTGGAGGATGAGGTCGCGTGTGTAGGGGTTGGTAGTGAGTGTGACTCCACAGTCGGAAATTTGTCCCGCATACAGCAAGTTGAAACATAGATTCGGCACGTACAGCACGTTGTGGAATGTAATGTATGTGTTACTGTCTCGTGCCTGAAGCAGGACTATGCCTTGCGCATTTGCCCGCAGCTGGTTCTTGTTTGTGACGGTGATGTAAGTGGAAGTGGGGGTGGCGCTGACGTTGGAGATAAAGCGCAGTGATCCCACCATGTGGAAACGAGAGGGTTTGTATGGGTTGGAAGGTGACTGAAATTTTGTACCGTAGTAAGGTTGAGGGCAGTTTGGGCTGAAATTTCCTTGCCTTTGGGATTGTTTGCCATATCTTGTAGTCGCTGCAGCACTCCACATACCTTCGTCCCTCCGCTTGTTCCGTGCAAGGTCTCGACTTTGCTGCTCGTTGGCAAGGGCTTCGAAGATGAACGCACGGGTCTTCATTGACTGTGGAAGCGCTTGTAGTGTTGCACGAAAAGTGTCCCATTCCGGTGTAAGGCCGGTGAGGATGACGGCCTTGAAAAGAGACTCATGAATCTCCAATCCGATCGCTGCTGCTTCCTCCGGCATCGTTTAAGCTAGTTGAAGGTAGGCTTGTGCTGATTCATCTTCTTCCATCTTCCAATTCATGAAGCGGCTCCACATCTCGTCTTGGCTGCTCTCGGATTTTGACTGGTGCATAGACTCAGTCGGCTCCATGCTTCCTCTGCACTGTTTGCCTTTGTAGAACAGGGCAGGAGTGACTTTAACTGGTGCTCATGAATGCTATTGAATAGGTAGAGGAAGGCCTCCTTGTTGCGCCGCTCGTAAAGTCCTTTTTCAGCTTCTGAAGCATCTGCTGCTGGTTTGGCTGCTTCTTCAATATAGTAAGGCCACAGATCCAGAACGGATGAAAACTGAGTGAGCTCAAACTGAGTTGCCCATGTTGGAAAATCTTTGCCGTTGAACTTGGGAAGGTGAAGCTGAAGGAGGTGAATGGTGAGTATGCTGTTGAAGACCCTCCAGGTGCAACTGCTTCCAATAGACCTGTAGCTTCTGAGGTTGACTCTGTAGCTCCTCCGGTTGACTGGACAGCATAGACAGTTGGATTGACTCCCGCCATGGTCGGATTATCCTTGGAGGAAGGTGGCGGGCTCGATTGATCGAAACGACTAGCTCTGATACCAAATTATAAAACAGAGTAGCTGTGGCTACTGGAAGGCTGGAAAATTGGCTGGAAATGCTCAACAGAGCTGCTGGACTTGGTTGAATTTGAAGAAACTTCACTATGATCAAGGTTGTACAAGCCCACTAAGGCACAACTTCTTAAGCATTACAAACATGCAGATTGATAGTTCAAACCAAGCTGCTAAACACGGCAAATTCCTTGGGAACTTGGGCACAATTCAGCTGCATGGACCTTGAGTGACTCTGAGAGCCACATGAGGTGTGTGAATAAGAAATATATGGAATTCTCTGTTATAATAGCTGATTCTGTTTTGTAGAAACTTGTAGAAACTGCTAGCACTTCTTCTTGAAAGCAACTCCGAACTGTATCGAGATTTCGGCTGAAGTCTGATTGGTTGGGAAACTTTGTGATACTATCGTGAAGCCCTCGATCATCGCCGACATTCCCCCTTGCTGTTGCTTGTGTGCGAAGGGCTGGGGTGGCAGAAACTCCAACAAAGGCCCTGATCGGTACCACCCTTAAGCGGAGTGAGTGAGCTTCGGGGGAGTTCACTAACTCCCGCTTCGCGTGTGACGAAAGTTTACTCACTCCGACGTGGCTTACTCCGAGTAAGCCAAAATGAGCAAACGATCGCTGACCTACCTATTCGGAGTACGACTCGAAGTGGCCCTTCAGAAAGTTTCGTTCACGGGCAAATTTAGCTCCGCGGAGGAACTCCGTTTACTCCAGCATTTTGGGAGAGTGAGCCTCCCTACTCAGAGTAGGCATCGAAGGGCAAACCCGATAACACCGCAGATTTTGTTTTTGTTCTTGCAGGGACACCCTCCTCAAACACCTTTAGAACTTCCCATCCACTCTCAGTGGTTCTTGATGGTGTCATTTTGTGGTCCAGTTACCCCTTTGTGGGAATTAATTTTCTTGGTGACGAGTGGGGCAGTCTGGGCCGAAAGCAGCAGTGTTTCTAAGGAAATCGCGCTCACGACCCTCGCAACTTCCTCACGCGGAGTTTCGAGGGTGTGCCGATTACCCCTCGGAGTTGGGAAACTTACAGGAGGAAAGGTGAAGCACCCACGGACACGTGCTCACACGTGTGGCTCGGTGTACACAAGATGCCCGTTTGACTAGCCCAAGGTTGCTTTGTGAAGAGCCCTCTTCACAAAGCAAAAAGGATCCTTTATAAAATCTTTTAAAAGCCCTTTTTGCTAAGTGCGAATCGACGAAAACTTAGTGAAAAGCCCTATTCATTTCGCTAAGTTTTCGTCAATTCGCACTTAGCAAAAAGGGCTTTGAAAAGATTTTGTAAAGATTTTGACGTTGGTCTCTTCTGTCAAACTTCGGTTTTTGTGGTTCGTATTGCTCGAGGTGCTTATAAATGGGGTGCAACTGGCTGGCACCCTAATACACGGGTGCAGAGTTTCCATCGCGGGCAGGGCAAATTCGCGCGCAGGGGTTGGGCATCTTGTTCGAGTGCCAACGCATCGGAAGTGTCTCGGCTTAGGGGCTACCGATCAGGGCCAAAGTTCGCTTTACCACTGAGAAACTTCACGACACTAAGGGCGCGTGTCCTTGCTGGCCAGAGATCGAAATAAGGTCGACCTTTAGGTAGTAACCGGTTTCGTTAATTCTGTTCAGAGTAGGTCGCGACGCTCGTCAACAATGGGCCAGGTCAAGGAAACGAACAAGGACCTGAACATGGTCGAACTTACAACTGTCTGTTTGCGAACCCCTTTTGGGGAACGGGTGTGCTTTTGCGGACGCTCGACGAAACTGCGAAATTTCGCGCACACTGCCGAACAGTTCACAGTTTTGAGGAGTCGTCAGCCTCCACGTGGACGACATCGTGAAACCAAAAACAACCCTGTTAGGTGCCGTCCGTCCGACCACAACTTTTACGGTCAACTGGCTGCTCGGGTAACCTATGAATAACCTACTGATCTGGGTGCGACTCGGGCCCTGCTCGATAAGGTCGAGCTTAGATGGTCGGCCATCGTTGTTCCAAAGTGTCCGAAGTGAAATGTGATGATGCGCTTTGACAAAGAAACTCTCAATTGTCGACATGAATTTTACAAATTGCGCTGAAGGACACACGCCCTAAGTAGGAAGCATGTCCCGCCCTACTACCCGCAATGCGATGACAGCACAGGCTGTCGTCAAAGATCTACTTTCCTTTTCGTAGTTTTTGTTCGATTCGAACTTTCATCTGACAAACAAATTTGTGGCGGAAGCAGCCACGATGCGCGGGAGTTGTGATGCCGCGGAGATGGGGGAGGAGGGTTGTGAGGTAGAGACATCGAATGGCGGTGTAACGGGCGGTGGTGGTAACAAGGGCTTCGAGAACATCGTAATACGAGATCCACGCAGTCTGCTTGAGAAGCTTGATACGCCGACGTTGGTACGAGTTATAATGCATCATTGGTGCATTGCAGGCTTGTCGTAAGGTTTCTTTACAGGCGCATTCATGAAAACCGTACACCGCCTATCTTTTTGAGAATTAAGATTGTTTTCTGCTCCGTCCTCCTTCCCGACCAATCAGGTGGCGCCAGAGCTCGCGCCCGGCCCTAAGAACCGGCTGGACGCGTACCTCACAGCGCTCGATAAGCTATCGGACGCGCTACGGTTCTTCGAGGTGCACAGCTATCTGGGCAGCTGCCGCACCGAGCTGCGGCAGGGGAGGGGGCTGATGGACGATGCGGTGGGGCGACTGAAAGAGGAGTTCGGAGAGGTGCTGTCCGGTGCAAGGTGGGCTAGGGGTAGGTGTTCGCTTTGTTAGTGCTGTCCATTCCATCCTCATTCCATCCCCTCTCCCTACTCTCTCCCTCTCCCTCGCTTCCCCCCGTTCCGCCTCCCTCCACTCTCCTTTCCCATCCATCCCCCCTCTCCTTCCTCCTTCCGCTCTCGTTCCATCGCCCTCCCCCCACCCTTCCGTCCCACGCCATCCCTTTCCCTCCCCACTCCCTCCCCAATCCATCCGCCCCCACCTCAACTCCACCCAATCGCAACCCCACCCCACCCCACCTCACCCCACTGTCGTTCTTCCTGGCGTGCAGCCTGGTACCTGATCGAAAGGCGCTCGTCCAATCAGCAGCGTGCATGAAGCCAGGCGAGGTGGTGCAGCCCGTGCCTCTGGTTCGGCCCGAGGCTGTGAAGCAGCTTCGGGCCATGGCGGCATGGATGGTGGGCAATGAGTACGAGGCAGCATGCCTTCGAGTGTACGAGTGAGTCGTGCTAGCCTATCATTGCTCGCATCCACCCCTCAATGCACAGCACACTGTATGCCTAGTCATCTCGGGGTCTTGTATGTCAAAGCACGTGCTCATCCTAGTCCTTCTTTCCCCATCAACACCTTTTATCCCGCTTCTTCCTCTCTCTCCCTCTCTCTCCCCACACCCACGTCCCCACACCCACTTCTCCCCGCTCCCCGATCAACAAACCCTGGCCTTCCTGCCCATGGCTGTGGCCAGGGAGCAGCGGGCAGCAGCGCTGCTACGGTGTTTGGAGCGGCTGGGCAGTGCAGCGCTGACGCGCGACGAGGTGGTGGCGCTGCCCTGGACCGACCTCGAGCCCCTCATGAAGCGCTGGGTCGAGAACCTCAAGCTCACGGTAACAAGGTTTGGAGAACCTTAAACTCACGGTAACAAGGGGTGGAGAACCTTAAACTCACGGTAACAAGGGGTGGAGAACCTTAAACTCACGGTAACAAGGGGTGGAGAACCTCAAACTCACTGTAACAAGAGATGGAGAACGAGAACCTTAAACTCACGGTAACAAGGGGTGGAGAACCTCAAACTCACGGTAACAAGGGGTAGAGAACCTTAAACTCACGGTAACAAGGGGTGGAGAACCTTAAACTCACCTCACGGTAACAAGGGGTGGAGAACCTTAAACTCACGGTAACAAGGGGTGGAGAACCTCAAAATCACGGTAAAAAGGGGTGGAGAACCTCAAAATCACGGTAACAAGGGGTGGAGAACCTCAAACTCACGGTAACAAGGGGTGGAGAACCTCAAACTCACAGTAATGAGGGGTGGAGAACCTCAAGAAAACAGTAACAAGGGGTGGAGAGCCTCAAGCTAATGGTAACGAGGGGTGGAGAGAAGTTGAAGCTCGCAGTAACGGGTGGTGGAGAAGACATGAGCACCGAGTCCATCGCAGGCTGGCCCCATCGGGCTACCCCGCCCTGTTGCAGCTTGGCTCCAGCTCTTCCTGTCGCGCCTCAGGCCTGGCCTCCGTTCCCAGCACTCTTGCACTCTGCGCATTCGCTTCTCCCCCTCTGCCAAATTCTCCCCTCTCGATTCCCCCCCTCTCCCAATTCTCCCCCTCTCCTGCTTCTCCTGCTTGACTCCGCCCACTCCACTCCTCTTCCCGCTGGTCGTTGCCTGACGGCCGTGCTGCTGCCAGCTGAAGCAGCTGCACGCCTTGGGACTTGATGCCTCGCCTAGTGTTGACACGCGTCAAGCTGCACTCCTCGGCCTGCGTGCAGATGCTGGTGCTCATTGCAGCGGAGGACGCCGTGTGCACCGACATCATCGGCCGGGGCCCCACCCCCTCCCCCTCGGCGCGCGCTCGGTGCCTGACGGGAGTGGCGGTGCCGGCGCTGAAGCAGCTGCACGCGTTTGGCGACATCATCGCTGACATGCCGCGCGCCCCCGAGCACGTCTTCTCCCTGCTCGAGATGGTCGAGGCGCTGCTCGACCTGCGCCCCGCTGTCAGTCACTCACTCACTCATGCTGTCACTCACTCATGCTGTCAGTCACTCACTCACTCATGCTGTCACTCACTCATGCTGTCAGTCACTCACTCACTCATGCTGTCACTCACTCACGCTGTCAGTCACTCACTCACTCATGCTGTCACTCACTCATGCTGTCAGTCACTCACTCACTCATGCTGTCACTCACTCATGCTGTCAGTCAGTCACTCACTCATGCTGTCACTCACTCATGCTGTCAGTCACTAACTCGCTCATGCTGTCACTCACTCACGCTGTCAGTCACTCACTCACTCATGCTGTCACTCACTCATGCTGTCAGTCACTCACTCACTCATGCTGTCACTCACTCATGCTGTCACTCACTCATGCTGTCAGTCACTCACTCACGCTGTCAGTCACTCACTCACTCATGCTGTCACTCACTCATGCTGTCAGTCACTCACTCACTCATGCTGTCACTCACTCATGCTGTCAGTCACTCACTCACTCATGCTGTCACTCACTCATGCTGTCAGTCACTAACTCGCTCATGCTGTCACTCACTCACGCTGTCAGTCACTCACTCACTCATGCTGTCACTCACTCATGCTGTCAGTCACTCACTCACGCACTCATGCTGTCACTCACTCACTCACTCATGCTGTCAGTCACTCACTCACTCACTCTGTCAGTCACTCACTCATGCTGTCAGTCAGTCACTCACTCACTCATGCAGTCAGTCACTCACTCACTCATGCTGTCAGTCAGTCACTCACTCATGCTGTCGGTCACTCACTCACTCATGCTGTCAGTCACTCACTCACTCATGCTGTCAGTCAGTCACTCACTCATGCTGTCAGTCACTCACTCACTCATGCTGTGAGACTCGCTCACTCACTCATGTTGTCAGTCACTCACTCACTCATGCTGTCAGTCAGTCACTCACTCATGCTGTCAGTCACTCACTCACTCATGCTGTCACTCGCTCACTCACTCATGCTGTGAGACTCGCTCACTCACTCATGTTGTCAGTCACTCACTCACTCATGCTGTCACTCACTCACTCATGCTGTGAGACTCGCTCACTCACTCATGTTGTCAGTCACTCACTCACTCATGCTGTCAGTCAGTCAATCACTCATGCTGTCAGTCACTCACTCACTCATGCTGTCACTCGCTCACTCACTCATGCTGTGAGACTCGCTCACTCACTCATGTTGTCAGTCACTCACTCACTCTTGCTGTCACTCACTCACTCACTCATGCTGTCAGTCACTCACTCACTCATGCTGTCACTCACTCACTCACTCATGCTGTCAGTCACTCACTCACTCATGCTGTGAGTCACTCACTCACTCATGTTGTCAGTCACTCACTCACTCATGCTGTCAGTCACTCACTCACTCGTGCTGTCAGTCACTCACTCACTCATGCTGTCACTCACTCACTCATGCTGTCAAGCAGTCACTCACTCATGCTGTCAGTCACTCACTCACTCATGATGTCACTCACTCACTCACTCACTCACTCACTCATGCTGTCAGTCACTCACTCATGCTGTCAGTCACTCACTCACTCATGCTGTCACTCACTCACTCACTCACTCATGCTGTCAGTCACTCACTCACTCATGCTGTCAGTCACTCACTCACTCATGCTGTCACTCACTCACTCACTCATGCTGTCACTCACTCACTCACTCATGCTGTCACTCACTCACTCACTCATGCTGTCAGTCACTCACTCACTCATGCTGTCACTCACTCACTCACTCATGCTGTCACTCACTCACTCACTCATGCTGTCAGTCACTCACTCACTCATGCTGTCAGTCACTCACTCACTCATGCTGTAACTCACTCACTCACTCATGCTGTCACTCACTCACTCACTCATGCTGTCAGTCACTCACTCACTCATACTGTCAGTCACTCACTCACTCATGCAGTCAGTCACTCACTCACTCACTCATGCTGACACTCACTCACTCATGTTGTCAGTCACTCACTCACTCATGCTGTCAGTCACTCACTCACTCATGCTGTCACTCACTCACTCACTCACTCATGCTGTCAGTCAGTCACTCACTCACTCACTCTTGCTGTCAGTCAGTCACTCACTCATGCTGTCAGTCACTCACTCACTCATGCTGTCAGTCACTCACTCACTCATGCTGTCAGTCACTCACTCATTCATGCTGTCACTCACTCACCCACTCATGCTGTCAGTCACTCACTCACTCATGCTGTCAGTCACTCACTCACTCACTCATGCTGTCACTCACTCACTCACTCACTCATGCTGTCAGTCACTCACTCACTCATGCTGTCAGTCACTCACTCACTCATGCTGTCACTCACTCACTCACACACTCACTCATGCTGTCACTCACTCACTCACTCACTCACTCATGCTGTCAGTCACTCACTCACTCATGCTGTCAGTCACTCACTCACTCATGCTGTCAGTCACTCACTCACTCATGCTGTCAGTCACTCACTCACTCATGCTGTCAGTCACTCACTCACTCATGCTGTCAGTCACTCACTCACTCATGCTGTCAGTCAGTCACTCACTCATGCTGTCAGTCACTCACTCACTCATGATATCACTCACTCACTCACTCACTCACTCATGCTGTCAGTCACTCACTCATGCTGTCAGTCACTCACTCACTCATGCTGTCACTCACTCACTCACTCACTCATGCTGTCAGTCACTCACTCACTCATGCTGTCAGTCACTCACTCACTCATGCTGTCACTCACTCACTCACTCATGCTGTCACTCACTCACTCACTCATGCTGTCACTCCCTCACTCACTCATGCTGTCAGTCACTCACTCACTCATGCTGTCACTCACTCACTCACTCATGCTGTCAGTCACTCACTCACTCATGCTGTCAGTCACTCACTCACTCATGCTGTCACTCACTCACTCACTCATGCTGTCACTCACTCACTCACTCATGCTGTCAGTCACTCACTCACTCATACTGTCAGTCACTCACTCACTCATGCAGTCAGTCACTCACTCACTCATGCTGACACTTACTCACTCATGCCGTCAGTCACTCACTCACTCATGCTGTCAGTCACTCACTCACTCATGCTGTCGGTCACTCACTCACTCATGCTGTCAGTCACTCACTCACTCATGCTGTCACTCACTCACTCACTCATGCTGTCACTCACTCACTCACTCATGCTGTCAGTCACTCACTCACTCATACTGTCAGTCACTCACTCACTCATGCAGTCAGTCACTCACTCACTCATGCTGACACTTACTCACTCATGCTGTCAGTCACTCACTCACTCATGCTGTCAGTCACTCACTCACTCATGCTGTCACTCACTCACTCACTCACTCATGCTGTCAGTCAGTCACTCACTCACTCACTCTTGCTGTCAGTCAGTCACTCACTCATGCTGTCAGTCACTCACTCACTCATGCTGTCAGTCACTCACTCACTCATGCTGTCAGTCACTCACTCATTCATGCTGTCACTCACTCACCCACTCATGCTGTCAGTCACTCACTCACTCATGCTGTCAGTCACTCACTCACTCACTCATGCTGTCACTCACTCACTCACTCACTCATGCTGTCAGTCACTCACTCACTCATGCTGTGAGTCACTCCCTCACTCATGCTGTCAGTCACTCACTCGCTCATGCTGTCAGTCACTCACTCACTCATGCTGTTAGTCAGTCACTCACTCACTCATGCTACTCACTCATTCTGTCAGTCACTCACTCACTCATGCTGTCAGTCACTCACTCACTCATGCTGTTAGTCACTCACTCACTCATGCTGTCAGTCACTCACTCACTCATGCTGTCACTCACTCACTCACTCATGCTGTCAGTCACTCGCTCACTCATTCTGTCAGTCACTCACTCATTCATGCTGTCAGTCACTCACTCATTCATGCTGTCACTCACTCACCCACTCATGCTGTCAGTCACTCACTCACTCATGCTGTCAGTCACTCACTCACTCATGCTGTCAGTCACTCACTCATTCATGCTGTCACTCACTCACCCACTCATGCTGTCAGTCACTCACTCACTCATGCTGTCAGTCACTCACTCACTCACTCATGCTGTCACTCACTCACTCACTCACTCATGCTGTCAGTCACTCACTCACTCATGCTGTGAGTCACTCCCTCACTCATGCTGTCAGTCACTCACTCGCTCATGCTGTCAGTCACTCACTCACTCATGCTACTCACTCATTCTGTCAGTCACTCACTCACTCATGCTGTCAGTCACTCACTCATGCTGTCACTCACTCACTCACTCATGCGGTGAGTCACTCACTCACTCATGCTGTGAGTCACTCACTCACTCATGCTGTGAGTCACTCACTCACTCATGCTGTGCCATCCAGCACCACTGGGTTGCACCGTGCAATGCCTTCTCTGACTCTCCTCCCTTCCCCAGCTCCGCCCACACCTTGGAAGTCAACTGGACTCGCCCCGTCTCTGTGTTCAACCATCCCAACCTAACACCTCTGGTTCAATCCAATCGTGGGTGAACTTCACTCATACACCATCCACGAGAGCAAGCCAGCCGTGTGTTTGCACTGCCCCTTGCCTCTGGCCCCACCTCCTCTTCTCCCCACTCCTCCTCCCCAACCCCTTTTTCCGGCAGGTGGAGAAGCAGTTCCCTGGGGAGGCGGGCGGGGAGGTGCGGCAGCATCTGGTGGGCATCTGCGCGGCGCTGTGTCGCACGGTGCGGGGCACCATCGCTGACTTCCAGCACATCGTGCTCCACGACCCCACTCCGCCACCCGCCCCCACCCCCCGCCCCTCCCTCCCCTCCTGCTCCTCCACCTCCTCCTCCTCCTCAGCCCCCTTCCCCCCTCCTCCTCCTTTGGTTTCAGCCTCTGGCCATGAGGGGGGCGAGGAGAGGAAGGGGGAGGAGGGCGGGGAGGGGAATTGGGAGGAGGATGTGGACTGGAGCCACAGATCGGATTCCAGCCATCGATCTCACCACGGGGGCGGTGGGTCGCACAATCGGACGGTGAGCGGCAGCGCGTCGAGTGGGAGGGGCATTTTGGGGGGCCTGCTGCCGAAGAAGGTCAGCAAGGGGCATGAGGAGGGCAAGGGCGAGGCACGGGGGAAGAGCAAGGCGGAGGGCAAGGAAGGTGGGGGGTCGGCGGGGCAGGAGGTGGTTGTGAGGGGCAGTCCAGACGTGCACCCGCTGACAAGCTACGTGGTGAACTTTATCCTCCTCTACTTCGACGAGTGCGTGGCCCTACCCTCATGTCCTGCCATTTGTATCCATGCCCTGCACTGTGAGTCAATGCACTGTGAGTCAATGCACTGTGAGTCAATGCACTGTGAGTCAATGCACTGTGAGTCAATGCACTGTGAGTCAATGCACTGTGAGTCAATGCACTGTGAGTCAATGCACTGTGAGTCAATGCACTGTGAGTCAATGCACTGTGAGTCAATGCGTATCACCTCAGAGTGGATAGTGTGTTTTATGTTCTGCAATGATTTTAATACACACCCTAAGCTCTTGGGAATAGATTGATGGAGGAAGCTGGCATGAGCATAAGCTGGCCAGCTGTGTGATCAGCTTCATCTGCTCCCCATGCACCAGTAAGGATCACCATCTTCATCTCTACTGCCGAAGGCGCCTTACGTGAAGCCACCCATCCTACTGCTATTCTTCCCCCCGCCCCTCCCAATGTGACCTGTGTGTGTGTGCCGTGCCCCACAGGACGCTGTACCTGGGCACGCTGCTGCTGGTGTACGACGAGGGGGGCGACCAGCACGAGGGCGCCGTGCGAGTGGGCGCCGCCACGCGCCACCTGCTGGCGGCGCTCAAGGCGAATCTGGAGCGCAAGGGAGACGCGTTCCACGATGAGGCGATGCGCGCCGTGTTCCTCATGAACAACTGCGAGTACATCCAGCGCAAGGTGGAGGAGTGAGTACATCCAGCGCAAGGTGGAGGAGTGAGTACATCCAGCGCAAGGTGGAGGAGTGAGTCACTCATTGTGCTTTTGCCCTCTTTCTTTTGTTTATTTATTATTCTAGATCTCACCACTATTAATGTTACTGCTGCGGCTGTTGCTGCTGTCGCCGCCACCACCGTCGCTGCTGCCGCTGCTGTTGCTGTTGCTGTTATTATCTCATGACTGTTGGTGGTATTAGTGATCCTTTAGCAGAAATGAGGTGTTTTTATGGGCGTGTGATTGACTGTGAATGCAGCTAGAATAAGGCTGATTGCGTGTGATGTGATGTGCTGTGCATGGCAGGCAGCATGTGAAGATGATCCTTGGGCGGGCGTGGGTGGATGAAAACGCCAAGGACCTTGAGAAGCACCGAGACATCTACATTCGATGTATTGTGAATAAGGTGAGACATCTACATTCGATGTATTGTGAACAGGGTTGGAACACAACAAATTTCGCTGATTGGTTCTTTTTGAAACTTGCAAATCTCACGAATAGTCAAATCATCAAAGCTCAACACGATTCAGCTAGAACGGCATCCCCACCACTCACATCGGACCATCAGTTTGGCAGGACGGCACCCATATCATCAATGGCTCACGCCGCTTTCTTCGCCACTTCATACTGTCAAACATTCTATTCGCTGCAAGCTCAAATCGACCTCCTTTCTCCATTGGAGGACATCCAAGCTGATGTAGAGTTTCCATTCAGCCATACAACCGTTCGACGGTCCTAACCAACACCCCATCAGGTGGCCACCGCTTGATCGGGTCATGGAGTGGACGTGCAAGCGTTCATGACTTGCGGTCTTCAGATGCGCGTTGAATTTCTCACAGCACACCAATGCGCACCATCAATGCCCATGCTTGTCCCCCCACCACCCCCCCCGCCAGGTGGCGGGTGTGCTGTCAGACCACCGGGGTGACGTGGCGGCGTTCACAAAGCGAGTGCAGGCGCTGCACGCGCTGCTGGAGGGCGTGCAGGCACAGCAGAGTGGGTGGAGCATTGGGAATGCCGACCTGCGTGCGTTCGTGCGGGGAGAGGTGGCCTCGCAGGTGCTGCTCAGATACTCCGACTTCCTCGACCGCCACAGGTACGCTCCATGCCACTCCCACTCCCACTCCCACTCCCACTCCCACTCCCTCCCCGTGTTGCTGTGCGCTGGAGGGGACTCCCAGTCCCGTGTTGCGGTGCTGTTGAGGCGGTGGAGGGCGCGTGCTGAGGGATGTGGTGGAGGTGGGGTAGTGAGGCATGTGGGGAGAAGGGAGGGAGAAGCAGCAAGAAGGGGAGGCAGTGAGGAATCAAGAGGGATGAGGTTGGGAGAAATCGAGGTGAAGGGGTGCAAGAGAAGAGTGTGTTCGTTGATGGGATGGAAGAAAATGGTGGGTTGTCCTGTAGCCACTCGCAACATACATGCCACATGCATGCCACACACATGTCGACACTCACACCACACACGTGCAATAAACATGCCTTATGCCATGCCGGGCCTCCATCTCACGGCATGTGGCTTTTTCCGTGTGGCTTGACATGACACGTTGGTTCGGCTCGATGTGGCATGGCATGGCAGGTCTATAGTGGAGAGCCGAGCGTGCAAGGTGCGAGTGCTGACACGGCAGGAGGTGCATGCGTGGCTGACGGAGATATTCGACATGAAGAAGCATGGATGAGGTGTGCCATGCCTCAGGGAGGGTGATAAAAACACCAGAGGGAGGTGTCTTAGTGCTGTAACATAACATCCTAGCATCAGATAGGCTACAGGGTGGAATGAGTCAATGTTCGATGTTCTGCCTTACCAGGACAGGGCAAACACAATGATGGTCGTGCGGAGCAGTGACCGGTATGGCAATACATCTTTCCTCCCTGCATTGTGTTCTAAAGCAGGTGCTTCAATGTGCCGAAGTACGTAACAACACTTCCAGGCCTGAGAAATTGATAAGTAACCAAATGAATTGACTAAGATGGGGGTAATCTGTGCATTCCACCTGCTTACACAACTGTTTAGGTACAAAGAGGAAAAAACACACAACGTACCACTTTCAAAAGGATATGCACTAGTACGTAGGGTCTTCTCCCAGTAAGGCTCACAAAAACTGATGTGCGGCTCAGCTCAGCTCAGCTCATCTCAGCTCAGCTCAGCTCAGCTCAGCTCAGCTCAGCTCAGCTCAGGGTTTCTATAGATACTGTTTAAGTGAGTGGCTACTCCCTCACTATTGGACGACAACGGCCACTTTCATGTTCATCCCACAGTGGCCGTACACTTGGCAGCCGAATTACAGCGTGCTGCCCCGTGCCGTCGCCGGCACTGTGAACCTGAAAGGGGAGCCAAGCCGGGCAAAGAGAGACATCAGAAGCGCTAGGGTGCTATTTGGAAACAAGCGTGAGGCAAGGCGACACGACACCAGGGTGTCGGCAAGGAAGGCGGACACAAGTGGTGCTCACTTGTACGTCTTGCCAAGGGCCATGTGTTGTGTGCCTTCTCTTTGGCACCGCTGAAGTCACAGCTCAGGTAGGCAGCAGCGCTGCTCATCTGCCACACGTCGTGGTAACCCGTCCACTTGAACACTGCACAGCACGCCGCACGGACGTGGGATGCAGGGCGCACAGGTAATGTGTGATGCGAGACAAGGGAGAGCAAGGAGCGGTCATTAAGGCAAGGTGGTCAACTTAGGGTAGAACAATAGGGCGAGCTAAAGAGCACAAGGGGTATGCAACCAGCATTGAAGACGCAAGAACCGAGGGGGGAATTTCAGCAAGGGGAGGCATCAGGAGTGTAGTGGCGGCACATGGGACAGGCACGCACCGAGCACATCGCGTGCTTTAGCGATGGGATTGGGCTTCCAGCTGCTCACACCGTACGCCCACCCCTTGTTGCCGCCCACTACGATCTCACGCGCCTGCGCTCGTGGGGCAGCATGCATGCACATGGGGCGCGCGCATCATGATACACAAGCATGCTTGCAGGATTCATGGAGCTGAACTGCACGCATGTGAGCAAGGGCACTGTCTGACTCGGGACGGAAGCGGGGAAATGGACGAGGAAAGGGCGGGCGCGGGAAGAGCAGGCGAGAGGAAGCGGGAGGACAAGTGAATCAGCAAGTGCAGCGCTGAGACTCCAACTCTTTACGTGCCGAGGAGGGCAGTGCGGGAGGAAAAGCGCGGGCTGCACGTGCAAGCGATGGCAAGGAAAATCAGGCGGGGCAACGTATGGAGAGGAAGGGCGAAGGACGAGGGGCGAGGGGCGAGGGGCGTATCTCTGCGTGAGTTGCGGCTGAGGAGCAGATGATCCGACGGCAGGGGCGATCATGGTAGAACGCAGTACACAGCAAGGCGAGGGGGAGCCCACGACGCGATCGGCGGACGCGAGAGAAGCGCAGGGCGCGTGGGACATCAGAAGAATGTGAAGGAAGCATCGGGTTGTAAACGCCGATTTGCTTGGCATATACTACGTGCGGACTGTGGTTTCTCCCCACCCCAATAAACGACCAGGGGTATTGCGCGATGTACGTTGAAAACAGAGGGGGGTCATGATCACCGTTTACGCGCGAAAATTGTGCTACAGTGACCTAGTGTGCATTGCCATACATTCCGATAAGTTGCCTAGTACCCCCACTTACGACCGAGTAGTATCGAGTCTTCGATTTCTACCTACCCTAGTTTAGGACGCGGCACCTCAAGCAATTTTGCACGATCGATCGCAGGATCGCTGATTCAACCGTACTGAAATTCTGCTGAAAGTCTTTAAAGCTTTTATAACCATTTCAAACTCCTAAATCATTCGATCCTGCGCAGGGTCGATCGCAGGTTCGGTGCTGGAGGTGCCGCGTCCTTACTTTGACATCCTGCGCATCAACCGTGGTTGGTTTCGCTTTACCATCGCTGTGAGGATTTACAAATCCTTACTGATGCACTCGTTAGCGAGGACATCCCGAGGGTCACGCGAGGAACCTGACCTTCTTACACCTGTTCCGCGTTATTTTCACACTCTGAAAATCGCGCACGCGGCTTTGTCTGTTCTGGGGGGTGTGAAGTTAGGGGTAAGAAAACTGTTCCGACTAATTTCACGCGCGCTGAGTCAGCGCGCGTGGAAAGTGAAATCCGAAAGTTGACTCAGCAGCTTTGACTTTGTTGAACATTCCTTGTGTGTAGGAGACACCTCCGAAAATGCAAAACTCAAGAGAAACAAATTCTATAACTGGAAAAATACAAGTACACCTGAACGTAAATGAAGGCCTACAAACAAAAACAGAAATTCGGAACATGATACAATGCTCCTTCCTTGCACACGTTAAAAGGCAATGGTACAAGGAGCACTATGTGTTTAGCCCAGCATACGCGAACGCCATGTTGTCTTCTGAAAGCAGGTCCCTAAAACTGTAGGTACCTGCGGCGCGATCAACCGCGGGACGAACATACCTCGCCATAGAGGAATCCGATGCGAACTCATGCAAGGCCGTCGTTGCCGCTGCTGCATCTGCAGCATCCATGCCTGCCTCAGAGGGGGGCGCGTCATTCAGATCGAATGGGACGCCGCGGTTTCCGGGTTGGGCAGTCCACCAACTCCTACCAACCCACTCCGTGTCGTTTGCAACGCGTGTAGAAGTGGCGACGTGGTCGTCACAACCAACGAACGCCCGAGCGGTCATTAAAGGATCGTCAATCTTCAGTTTTTTCATTAACACACCTAGAGCTGTGATGTCAGCCGTCTCAGGATCCTTAGAAGGTCCTTGAAATAACCGTTCCAACCCCCACTCCTCCAACCAAGTGTACGGCACCACACCGGACCGAGATGGTGAAGCTGGGTTGGACATTCTAATTTGTACACGTCAGGTTCATGTGTACTTGATTCAAGGAAGAATGCGTGCATTTTTTTGTATGGTCGCGTTTTTGGCGCTGTGATTTTCGCCAATGCGAATTGAACACAGGGCTGACGCTATCAGACTAAATAGTCTGATTAGTCTGACCAATCAGAGCATTGAGGTTGTGGAAAATGGATTTGCAGAGTAATCAATATCTCATCCCTGAGGGCCTCAGTGTTATTGTTTGTAGGCCCTTGATATAGTGTAATAGTTCTCAGACTTAGTCGTTTCTGGAGTATGGCTCTACAGAGTATATGGTATGTGGACCCTGTATGCCGGTGTATTGAAAGGAAGCTTCCCCGAAATGTTCGAAAGTACCCCCCCCCCCCCCCCTCATTAAAACTTTCCACGCGTAATCATTTCACCACCCCCCGTGGTTGTCTTCTTGTTCGCATGGCCTCGAAACCACGTAATGTTGACAAAAGCTGTTGGTGCGCTGTGCACAGCAAGGCAGCCAGGTGCGGCGTGCTGCGCAGTTTGATGATGACTCTGCAGCCACGCGAACCGCGCCACCCTCACTCAATGTGATGGGTTGATCGCGATTGGTGGCATGGCTCACCAGCTATGTGTGGTGGCATTGTGGCAGATGAATTTGGCCCCGTCTTCGAGGCCCGATTCATTCATCAAACCCCACCCCACTCCGTGAGCCATTGTCGTGGCGACGCGGCTTTCGTTCCGTCTGCTGCAGCTGGTTCTTTCCAGGCTGAAGGGTCTCCCAGTTTCACAGTTTGCTTTCATTCTCGTAATTTCAGATTCTTGATTCATCGTTCTCTCTCGCCATGGCGTCCTCATCTCCCGCGGAGGACTCCCCTGAGGCCGTCCCGGAAAAGCCTCCTGATCGTAGGGTTAGAGGCCTAGACTTCCTTCGATCAAGCGTAGCTCCAGTCACTCCAGAACCTTTAGTTACCGCTGCTGTTTTTAATAATGAGGAGATCCCGTCGTCCAGCAAGAATCCGCAACCGGCCCCCAATCCCGCGCCTGCTCCAGCGCCGTTCACTCTCCCTCCCGCCATCGCGTCGTCTAGCAAGGGGCCGCAACCACCACCAGCGCCGTTCACTCTCCCTCCCGCCATCCCGTCGTCTAGCAAGGGGCCGCAACCTCCTCGCAATCCCGCACCACCACCAGCGCCGTTCACCCTCCCTCCCGCCATCCCATCGTCCAGTACAGCGCCTCCCTCTGCTGTTGGTAGCAGTGGCTGCAATGATGCCGCTCCCGCGTCCGAGGGTCGTACAGCGAAGAAGGCGCGCACTGTCGTACTCCGCGGGAAGTTTCAGCAGAGCACGTTGACCTTCGGCGGTGTGCGCGTGGCACCACCAAGCGCTCCAGAAGACTCCGAGCCCGAACCAGAGGAACCAGAGGAGATACCTGTACGTGCGGACACCAACTCTCCCATCCTGTCCAAGGCTGAGGTAATGGAGCAGAAGTACATAGAGGCGAGTGTTAAGTATAAAACCCAGTGGTTGCCCAAATTCCCGTGGCTGCTTTTGGTTCGCGCTAAAGACGGTGGTCCCAGTGTGAAGTGCAGCCTGTGTCTCTCGTTCGGCAAGGAGACAACCAAGTACTCAGGTCCAGGCGACGGCGGGCGAGACCTGCAGACTCAGACGATGCGCATCCACGAGCACACGTCGGTCCACAAGGAGGCGATGCAGCGTCAGGCAGAGATTGCGGAGGCGATTTCGAACGGGCAGACGAAAATCGATCGTTTCATCAACGCTGACGTTGAGGGAAGGCGGGCTATTCGGCTGATGAGGTCGGTGCAGTTTCTCTGCCAGGAGGACGCGCCCATCAGCATGTTCCCGAAGCTCATGAGG